AAAAAAAGGCCAGCCAGCAATGTGTGAAAGATAAAATAAAACAGAGCTTCCAAGTTATTAAAAGTACTTGATATCACTCTAATCTGATCAATAAACTGAAGATGAAAAGTCCAAAGTATAAAAGCAACAAGTCATGGTTTTGCAAGGTGTGCACCACATTATCTCTGTACTAGGATGAGCTGAAATGCTGGGCAACTGTGCCTGCACAAAGCCAAGCTAACTGTTTGCCCATGCGTCCTTTCTTCGTGCTTCATGGTACATTAAAAGTCTTGTGAATTGAGACTGGTATTCAATTTTATTCAGGTAATTTAAGCATGCTTATCTATCACTAAGCAAACGTCAGCTCTAACAGAGCAGTCAGGGTAAAAAAAAAAGTAATATTTCTATTGTCAAACTGCAGGCTGTGCATTTGGAAAACATTTATTTATATATACATGTGTTTACCTTTTTTTCAGCTCCCACTACTCTGGGATGCATTGTAAGACAGGTGTGCATTGACTGCAAATCAATGGCCCAGAAGGGGCAAACATTTGAGCTTCCACGACAGAGAATAACAGGATGAGGTGTTAAATGTTAACTGTCAGAAGACGCTTGTCTCAGGGTCCAGGCAGGCCAAAGGTCCATCGTGTGCCTCCACCTACTGACTCCTCCTAAAAGACATAATCAGCTCTCCGGTGCCTCTACGATCCAGCTTCCTCTCTGTTCCGGTTTGAAACCTTGCAGAGCTCTGGAAGACTAGAGAGGCTTACTGCTCGAGACTCGACTGAGAGGGGAAACACAGGTAATGTGAAGGTAATTGTCCTTGACTTGTCTCACTTTGCCTTTTTAGTCCCTTAAGCAAAGACTCGGAGATTAATGAGGAATCTTTAACGTATTTTGGATGCTGATATAGTTATAGTTTGGACAAAGAGAGATGTTAGTTCAAATGAAACCTACTTTTTTAAAATTTAGATTTAAAGTGTATAGTAATTATATGTCTTTGCAGTAATAAAGTGTTACAACTCTCGTGTTAAGTTGTCAGGTTGATCAGACTTTGTGTCCGTTGCTGAAAACTGCCCTTGTTGTGTGTGTTATGGGGTGGTGGGCGTGTATTTCAGGTGCACAAAGCTGCAGCTACTATGGACAGTCACATTATACAGATTTCCCGAGATGACTTGGAAGATCTAAAAGAAGCCTTCAACAAAATCGGTCAGTTTCACACAGAGCCACGAACATGCATACACAAACACACAAATACAACACACACGCAAACTCTAACATGACCCTATAAAGGTACTGACAGTAATTCTGAACAAAATAAGAGTTTTACTGCCATCATAAAATAAAAGACTCTTATGTAAGCCAGTTTTACTGCTTGTGTTGTACTTGTTGTTTCACGTGTAATAAACGGTGCCAAATTTTATCAGTAACAATCACAGCTGCAGAGTTGCAAAGATCTTGATAATAATGAGTGGTGTAACAAAACAGACATTATCTTCCCATTTCTGCATGGCATAAAAATATCAAGCACAAAGGACAACAGGTCAAAGGCATCAAACAGCAATTTGGAGCAATTTAAAAATTATTTCTAACACCGTTCATCCTGGTCAAAGTTCATCTCCGACACTCATGTTTCTTGGAACCTTGAATGTCTGAACAAAACGCGAGAGAAATCCATCCAGTAGCTCCTTAGTTTTGACATCATCAGTGAAAACAACAAGCACCCATAAAGTGCCACAAATAGTTTTTGCCTCATTTTAGTAACAAACCAGAAGCCCAGGGGCCACTGACATGCAGCCCCAGTGCAATGAAGTTTGTCCACATGAAACAATAAAGTTTAGAATCTATAGAAAAGAAAGTTTACAATAATAAACTTGTAATATGAATCTTTACTCTTAATGAAGGAAATGATTTGCCGTTTTTGTATTTTCTGTGTCTCTGTGTCCAGATATTGATAACAGCGGCTATGTGAGTGAATGGGAGCTTCAGGAGCTGTTCAAAGAGGCAAGCTTCTCCCTTCCAGGCTACAAGGTGCGAGAGATCATCGAGACCTTCATTGCTGGAGATACAAACAAAGATGGAAAGATCAGCTTTGAGGAATTTGTCTCTGTAAGTTTTGGTACAGCCTGGGAGTAAATGCACAAGTTTACACACCCGATTAGACATGAAGTAATGCATCATGTTTTGCTTTCAGATCTACCAAGACCTGAAGAGTAGACAGATCAGTGAGACATTTAAAAAAATTGTGTCACGGAGGGATGGGATTCGTTCTTTTGGAGGAACATCAGGAATCTCTAGCGAGGGAACCCAGCATTCCTACGCTGGTGAGGGACAGCAAGCTGTGTGTGTGTGTGCGTGTGTGTGCGTGCGTGTGCGTGTCCGTGTGTGTTAGTGATGAATTTTATCGCACCGGTGAACGATTTTTGTGTGCATGATTAGCTCCAGCTTGTAAAGCAAAGATGTTACTAAAAGCAAATACCTCAAATCTTAAATGACACCAACTGCTCTTCTGAAGGATATATTATATTATATTATATTATATTATATTATATTATATT